ACCTTAAACTAAGCAGATAGCAGCTAGGTAACCTAGTTATCTTGCTTATAGTTTATATAGGCGCGGAGGACTTATTCTAGTATTAAATTAGCCTTTTCTATTTAGCTATTAGTTTCCGGGTAGAAGGCCGATAATAATTAGGCTTTAATATATAGTTGCTTATAGAGTTTATTCTAAAATATAGAAATAAACTGTAATTTTTAATCGGATATATATATATTAGGCAATCTATAATATACCTAAATATATTAGTAGAATAGGTTAGCTATAGCCTTAGCCGTAATTATTCTATAGGGAATTATATATTAGTACTTGCTTAGGCGGTCTACTATAACTATAATATTAGTGCAGCTTTTGGATTTAGGTAGTTTAATAATAAAGTTAATAGAAATATTTTACTAGTAATACTGCAGAATAGGCAGGGGTTTTAGAAAGCTATTATACTTCTTTTTTAAAGCCTTTATACGGCGATAGGTGTAATAGTATACTATAAATTGGCGGATTATTTTAAATATATGCGGCCAGTAGTATTTTTTTTAAAGGATTTCTAGAGTCTTTCTATATTTAGGGTAGCCGCTAACGGGGGAATTATATATATAATAAAGCAGTTTAATCTTTAGTTTATTATTATTAGGAATTGCTATTTAGTTGCGGAAGTAGAGCTTACTATCTCGCTTTTTATATTTGCTTAGGGTAATTTTCTTAGAGCAGTATACTCCGGAGCATAATATTTCCAGGACTTCCTAGATAAACTTATTATTTAGGTATTTATCCTTAATAATCTCCTAAATTATTTAGTTGGTTTCTATTAGATTTAACTGTATAAATAGGTTAGGATAGAGCAGTATCTAATTTCGGGCTGCTTAAGCTTTTTCTTGCGCAGGCGTATTTTGCGTACAACGTGTTAAGGCGTTAGGCTTTTTACTATACTTGCTAAGTCGGTAGGTAATTAAAAAGTTAAATTAGGATAGGTATTTAGACTAATAAGCCTATTAGTAGCTTAACTGCTTTATAGTTATAAAGTACTACAGGTTCTTATAGTTGCTAAAAACCTAAATTAGAAATACTGCGCCTTTTAGTTTAGGCCGCCACTGTTTAAAGTATTAGATAATTACTAGGAGTTCCTTATTATAGATCTTATAGTTATATTTAGCAGAACTTAATTATTTTAAAAAGTAGGCTATAGGTTGGAGTATTCCTTATTTATCTATTTGCGAGAGCACTCTAGCATTTATATAGTTAGATAAATCGGCCTTAATAATAATTAGCAGTTTAGGGTTAAAATAACAGAGGATTAGGGCGGTGGTAAACGCTGTCTTAAGTTGTTTAAATACTGCATAGCAGGACTTATTAAACCGGAACAGAATATTCTTTTTTATAAGTATAATTAGGGGAGCAGCCAGGCCAGAGAAATTATTAATAAATTGTCGGTAGAAGTTTATAAATCTAATAAAGGCTTATATATTCTTAATATTATAGGGGACTTCCTAGTTATAGATATTTTTAATCTTATTTAGGTCTATACTAATTCCGCCGGTTAATATTATATACCTTAGGTAGGTAACCTTATCCTAATAGAATTCGCACTTATTAATATCTAGTTATAGGCCGGCGGCTTTTATTACTTCTAGAACTAGCTTTATATAATACTAGTAGTCTTTAAAGTTTTTGCTGTATATTAGAATATTATTAATATATATAGTATAGAATATATCTAGGTACAGGCGGAGCATATTATTTATATAGTGTTAGAATATACTAAAAGTATTAGCTAATCTAAATAGCATTACTAGGTATTTAAACAGGCCGTATTGCGTCCGGAAAGCAGTTAGCTATTTATTTCCTTTCGCGATTTATAAGCAATTAAATGCGGAGATAATATTAAGCTTTATATAGTATTTTGCCTTACTTAATTATACTAGGGTCTCCTAAATTAAGGGGATTAGGTATCGGTTTTTAACAGTTATAGTATTTAGCGCGCGGTAGTTAATATAGAATTATAGGCCTCCTCCGGGCTTTTTAATAAAGATAACTAGAAAGGCAACAGGTAATAAACTAGCACGGATAAATCCTTTTGCAAGGTTGTTATTAAGGTACTTCCTTAGCACCTTTAATTTATTTTATAATATTCTATATAATAGGCTAAATCCGTGCAGTTTACTATTTTTAAGTATAATCTTATAATTATATATTTAGTATTTAGGTAACTTATTAGCTTCCTGTTAGGAGAAAGTTTTTAGTAAATAGTAATATTATACTAGGACTTTTATAGCTAGGTTAGTTTAGGTTTTTAGAGCTAAGGCCTTATTAATATTAGCAATAGTAATAGCAAAGATTTTATAATTAGGTTATTAGGCTAATCGGGTTATAGACGCCGCATTTAGTATACGGATATCCGTCCGGGTATTAGGTTTAAATTTAGAATTAGATTTAGTTTCGGGTTCGGTTTCTAGCTTAGGTTTAGGATTAGGTATATTCCTCTAGCGTACTATTTTAGGAAGCTAGTAATTGTGTCGGTGTTATATAGACAGGCTTAATTACTATAAGTAAAAGTATTAGGTTAGAAGTATTAGGCACTGCTTAATAAGGGGCGCTTTAGGAAGCTGTTTTATATAAGTTTTTATTGCAGAAGTTTAGGAGTTGCGTAGGTATTACGCCTAGTATTAGGATAATTAAAACAATAGTTATTAGTTATTATAGTTAAATCTAACACAGTGCTTATATAGCCAGGGCTATTCTAGTAATAGCTTATATTTGCCAAGTTCTAGTATATAGAGACAGATCTATTCTATATAGTTTAGGTAGCGGAGGGTTACTTATATAGAGTATATAATCTATCCTTTTTTAAGTATTTTTCTATTAAATCTAGTTAGGCGTAAAATATAAGGGAGCAGGTTAAGGCGGAGGTTCTATACGCGCGCCAGATTCCTATAAATATAACCTATACCTATAGCTCTACTATTAATTAGAGCTACAGCATCTATATAGGTAGGGCCTTATTATATAGAAATAGGAATAAAAATCTATTATTTCTAGGAGTTAGGTTTAGGT